ACATAAATGATATCTCGTCGGGAGTTAACCATTCTCAATCATTTATTTGTGCTGATGATCTCAAATGTGTATATTCACTCAATAAATCTACGACCCTTCATTTCCTTGAGCAAAACCAAACTGAGTTGCCTGCTCTTTCAGCATTGACCATTGGAACTCTCTCCATCAACTTGTCGCTATATGTATTTTGGACCTGATAAGCTACCCCAAGCAGTGGTCTTTCATGGCACACCTATGACTGAATGTATCACCATCAATAACTATGTTTAAACTACACCAAAAATCTTGATCACTCCCCACACGCTGACAGAATTACAGCCAAAACCGCCAAGATTGTGGCTTTACAGATTTTACAATTTTTATCTTCTTGAAAGAAAATTAAGATTTTATCGTATGCTTGTACTGCCCATTCTCGAGTATTGTTTCCCATTCCTGGGTTTGAAGAACGAGGCTAGTCGTTTAAATATTGAGACTTTCCAAAGACATTTATCTAAAAAACTTTTAGATAGATAACATCCCAATATCTCCTACTCAAAAAGATGCCAGTTAATTAACCTAAAATTTTTATGGGTTCGAATACTAGAAGCAGGCTTCTGTCCCATCTTTCGCATTAATCATAATTCAAATATTCCTCGGACTTCAGCCCTTAACCCTAGTAGTCGCCCATAAAATCTTCGTAAGTCTTCCTTTATTATACCCTCTCCAGCTTCCTCCACCTCCAACTCTTCTCTATTTTTCGCTTCCAGATATACTTTCCTCTGGAATATTCTTCCAATAAATATAGGATCTTCAGATAATATACACATATTTAAGAGAAGGCTGAGCCTCTATCTGAATACTGACTCGATTAAACTTTTATTTTCCTCATTTTTTACGGACAATTTTATCTATGACACTGAGAAAGGGCCACCGGAAATTTAGTTTGCCGTCATTAAATTTCCGTATCTGCTCACATTTCCTTATTTTGTGAGTAGTATCATTTCCTAGGATCCCTCATCAAAAGTGTTAAATTTTCGGTTTTTCAGTCCATCCATCATGCCCTCACAGAATGCGATCTACTGACGCTCTTGGCGGAAACTTCGGTATTCGCCATACACTAGTATTCTGGTCGCATCTCCCTTGCCCCATCCTCGGATGGATTCGGATGAATGTAACCGACCGCATCTGGGTTCCTATCGCCTCGAAACTGGTTTTCAATTCGCCACTATGACGTGAATGGCCTCATCCGGCATATGAATTCTCCCATGATTATTCCCGACTCGACCATTTCGTTCAAGTCTACATACAGGCCAGTCCTGCCTGACCCGCCTACTTACCCCTCCATGAAATCCGTCATACAGTGCCATATACAGTCCGGTCCTGTCTGTTTTTTATAAACTAAGGAGCGAGAGTTTTTTCCTCCTATAATTCTAATCCAATCATACTTATCTAATTAATGTTAGGAGTTTTTTCTCCTGCTCGCTCAATATCCTTCGTAACGTGTTACTTATTCAAAAACTATGAATTAAGTACTCTAATCATGCTGCATACCCCGCCTGAAACTCTAAAATTAATGTAAAACTTATTCCTACTTGCTATGATAGGACCCCAACGCGCCTTGAATAAAAATTATTATTATTATTATTTCCGTGGCTTTCCTCTGGGCTCTTTCGAGACTATTTTGATCCTGAAGCGCAATGGTCTCCAGGCTTGTATGCCGTATTTCAAGTGTGACCGCAGGAGTGTTACATAAATCTTTCAGTAGGCGTCTTCGTCAAAATTCTTAAACGCACGCTTGAGGGCGAATAATACGGACATTACGCTTTTGCCACTCTCAAGTAATGACGGAAGGGTTTTAGGGAGTTCGTCGGTAGCACACCGTGGTCCTTTTCGGTTTCGACGTCTCATAAGGCTGCACCGCGGAGAACGAAGTCTCTTGTGCTGGCGAATCTGGTTAGGTTGCTTAGGCGAAATATACTACAATCATCGACGTTGAGCCACATGAGCCAACGATTTCACCACTCCTCCAACTACTGAGTTCATCTGCAGTCCCTGCCAGCACCAGCCCCCTCTGGCCCCCTCATGGCCCCGCCTCATGAGGGGGCTATGAGGGGGCTGGAGAGGGGGCTATGGCGGGGCAAATCCCCGATGTGGCCCCCTCTGGCCCCCTCATCGAAAAAAAATGCGCAGGGGGACGCCTTATAGTTGTCATTTTTTGCCCCCACCCACGGCCATATTAGACTGTCTAACCGTAATACCGATCCATTAACGTCTAATTACTCGCGTTATAACCCTGATCACCCTTTTCCTAGACAGATTTTCCCAGGTATCTGTCGCTTTCAAGAGGGGGCCAAGTGCTGGCAGGGGTCACTATTCGTCAGCAGGGCGCCGGAGTACACTCCATATTTTCACGTCGTCATTAGAAATTGCTGCTCCGTGGCCCAAAGCTCTTGCGCAATCGTCCACGTATATTAAGAACAAACTGGCTCCAAGCACAGAGTTCTGGTGAACACCACTCTCGACCACTGCAAGATCTGAGCAACTTTCCGTCGTTAGCATGCTCCTGTAATAGCCGCTCAGGGAACAGACATAAGATTTAGTTAAAAGGGTCGGAATGGATAAACACGGTAATTCGGGACGTACTAAGGGGAAGCACGGATGTTACACTAAGTAAAAGATTCGTACGCAATGCTTTGCGTCCCGTCCTCATCGTTTAGGAATTATCTCGATAAATCGATATCTACTCGGTATGAATATTTTGAAAAACAGATATTCATTCGTTGTCACCTCGATATGGTTTGCCATCGAGTGTGGAAACTAACAGATCTAACTATGTTTGACATCCCAAACGTTTTTATGCTAGGCTTACACGAACGCAAATCTGGTCATCCGGTTGCATAATCACGACTCGGTTCGGCAGTTGTCTGACTTCCGAGGCCAACTTATTTGGAAGTGACTGGGTGTACCAGTCCTGGCTTTACGAGTAAATTTTAGTATAACTCCTGAAAGCTCGAACAGTCAAATATGTGCATAAGTTCTGGCATCTCGAGATGCCAGTTTCATATTGTCGAAGTATGATTAAGAGCATCCCCAAAACACGTATGGTATCATGTACATGATACCATACGTTTTGCGAATGCTCCTTTCTCCAGAACTGCGATAGTCACCTTTGTCCCCTTGCTCTCTTCATCCACTGTAGTCTCAGTAGCTGGTACTCTTCAAACTTTACTTATAAGTAATGCTAGTAACTATTACTACCGTTTGAAAACGGTATCCATTTGGATACCCATCGTTGCACTTCACTCGTCTTGCTAAATATTTTGATATTACGGACAGGAGGCGCGTTTGAAAACTCCGTATTAGCTGTTAGTGGTTAGCCGTGACAGTTTTATTGAAAGCCAGACCGTTTGATAGCAGTTAATTTCATCCATCCTACATATGCGTCTTCCATTTGATGCACTCATGCAGATGACCACCGCCTTCAAGGCCTTTTCGGATGAAGCAAAATTCTGCTATACAGTGGAATGTTCTCCAGATTACCTCCTATGAGATGCTTGACTATAACCGGTTTTGTCTAAAGAACCGCAT